CGAAATATTTTTTCACGAGAGGCATGATGGATACATGAACGTTTCGTATTCCGTGTAAATAACCGGAAACGGATTGACTGATGAAACTGATGTCAGAGAGACACATATATCTCTCTCTCATGGCGCCACGCCGCGATTGCGGTCGATGATGTTATCTGTCGGTCGCACTTTCTGATAACGAGATATCATCACAGTTATGCGATAATCGTGATGTAATTGGATGCACGAATTCGGCCCTGAACTGATCGCGGGATCTGTAAAATAATATTATCAAGATTGATCTCTCTCTCTCTCTCATTCGACCTAATTTCTAGTGGATGCATATTGGATGTATCGTACAAACAAAGCGGTTACTTGAGACTGAAATACAATCGATTAGTTCAGATATTTCAAAGATCGATCAAAGATAAAATCAAATAATTTCTCTGAATAATTTCTCATATCAATTTATTTAGTAATTATGTACAGTACATCAACGATCTATGGTATCTATTAATAAAACACGAACGCAAAGACGTGCAAAAATTTAACGATTCCTGTCGTTAACGAACAAATAACGAGCCGAATAAAGGAAACGTCAGCTCAGGCGCAGCATAGTTAAATCGCACAGTTTGCCGGAGAAGAAAAGATTACACGGCGGAACACTTTAATATCCGCGAGCCGTATTTTAAAACAAGTTCGGTCGAAGTTAAGAGCCCGTTAATCCGTTTAAGTAGTGAATGTTGCGCTATAACGTCGCCACGATACGCCGTGATTATGCATAAAGGAAAAGTTGCGAGAGTTCGAGTTGCCGAGTTGATTCAGCGATCGATTTGAGAGGCTGATCAGCGCGGAATACCGCCGCCACTGTTGCGTAATCTCCGCGCGTCTAAACAGTCACCTCCGTTGGCACCGTGCACTAGTTCTCAGAGAGCACCGTAGAGCATCGCCTTTAAAGTCACTTAATCTTACGATCGTCGACGACGTTCGACGGTGTCGATGGCCTAATCCGAATTCATTTGCGATCGATCATCCCGCTCGTTGCGGCGATATTGTCTAGCCGATTAAATTTGCACACTAATTTTGGAAGCGCAGCGAGACAGGAATGTTGAAACGGATGTTTGTCTCTTTCACCGCTCTTTTATGCGGCGGATTGCGTTTTTGTGTCTCGCCGAATAAAAAATAGGCAAGAGTAAAAAATGTTTGAGAATTTTTCATCTTGAAAGTTTGCAATTCGCTTTCGAGCCGTGACGATATGAGATTAAAACGCATTTTATAATTGAATTTATGCATCAAAAGAGACTTTGTTCTCGCTGTGTATCTCGCTGCAAGACAAATGAGACTCGTAAAAAATGAAATTAGTCTAAAAAGAATTTAGAATCACTTGTAATATATATTTCTACAAGCGTCTTACACTTGTCTTTTCAAAGTTACAGCTTCACATCTTAAAATAGCGAAAAGATGAGAACAAGAGATATTGCTAGGAGAAGTCAGCATCTAAAATAAAATGTCTAAAGAACGAGACATACGAAATGATGATGTGGCTGAATCAATTAACTTGCCGTATTTGTCAAAAATACGACATCGAATGTTGACGTAAATTCTTCATGGAATTTCAAACAACGGTGCACCGCAGTAAATTCCGCCGCTGTCATAACACGGAACATATCGCCCGTCCAGATTAAAATCGGGCTGGAAACGGTTTGTCGAAGGAATGGATTATGGCATGTCGGAGTCAGCGCGGAATACAAATTAAACATAAATAGATAGATATTGCTATTTATTAAGCGTTCTAAGATGACGTACCTAATCAAGTGCTAAGTCATTAGATACATTGTTTCAAACACAGTGGGGTGTGTCGTAAGAATTGAGTTTGGTATAAAAATAAAAAGAATAGAGCTGCAGAATCATGATTCTGCAGTTACAAAATCACGTGTTATTACGCCTCTCACTGTGCACCACGTGTCGTTAGTTCGCCACCTCGATTTCGTGTTATCTCATTCTTTCCTAGGTGTGCTCATGTTTCCGTGTAAAAAGCATATCCGGCAAGAAACAACATTGAGCCGTAAATACCTCGTAGCGCCACGCTAGTTTATATGCGTTATTGAATAATATACACGTGCAAATCGTCGAGATTATCCTTTATATAATCGCTTTACCGGAGCGGTAAAGCTCTCGATTACAGCTCGTAATCTCTTTTTCTCGGCGATCCGCACATTCCATTTATCCAACAATCCCGCGAACCGCAACTTCTGCTGAGTAAAGCAAGAAGTACCGCGCATTCTTTACATGCTCTCGCCATTCAATGACAGTTTTACTCTCGTCTAAATAATTTCATTGAGATATTTTTATTAAAATAATCCGGTAAAAGATACCGACGAGTTTGGTCCCGGCAACTTTTTGTAAGACTTGCCTCGGGCAACAGAAGTGTTATATTATAATCAAAAGGTCATGTTTTTATTAAACTTGTGAACTTATTTAAATTGCCGAGTTACTTAAATTAACAAACACTTAACAAACAATTTTCACTTTCTTACTCTCTAATAATAATGTTCATGCCAAACACTATCAAGTTTATACTTATATTAACATTTTATCATCACTACAATATAATTATAATAACTTCTCTCTTAACTAATTAAAATACACTATCCAAATATTATAAAAATTACACAATCAATAAATTATTATATTTTTCCCCAAAAATTCAAATCTTATAAATATTTTTTCAATTATATAACCAATATAACAATTTTAATTCAATTTATAGCTCGTCCCATAAATTATAAATCTAGCAACAAATTATTTATCTTTAAATAAAATAATTCCAAAAAAATAATAAATAAAATTATATAATAAACTTAACCGCTTATTATTATATCTATATTTATCTTTTGTACTTTTTTTCAGTTAAACAAAAATTAAATTTACTCAGAAAAAACTAGATATCTTTAAAATTGATTAAAATCTCTTTTCTAAAAAATTATTCATAATAATTATTTCACATTAACTATCATACTCTTCTTAGTTCTTCTAAATTCGAGAATTTTTAATAAATAAAAAAAATATAAATTATTAATCCCTGAAAATTAATCCCTACAAAAGATAAAATAAATAAAATTATCTTCTTTACATTAAACTTTAATTCACTTACGTTATTTAACTTTATAATCATCAAAAAATTAATTTTTTATGATTAATTTTTTTACTTACTACAACAGATATTAAATCATTAAACATTATATAATTTTATTTACCAAATAAATAACATTATCACATTAAAAAAAAAATCAATTTTTAAATTTAAAACTAAACATATATCAATTTCTAAATTTAATTCCACTAAATTTCCAAAGAAATTTAAATCCAAATACATTTTCCAATATATTCACTATGTTACGACTTCTCTCACTCATTTATTTCAGAAGATTTTAAAAAATTTCATAAAAGACGTCTACGACATTTTTATTTTCTTCGAAAAGTATTTAAGTTTTAGTACTTCTCTGATAATAAAATTCCACGATTGAAAATTCCAGGTAACCGATGGAATAATATCATAAATCAACATATTATTTTTTATTCACAGGAGATTGATGGAGAGAGGTTCGTCCATCCCGTGGCAGGAAACGTTGCGAGAAGCCACCGGTGAAGCTAGATTAGACGGATCCGCTCTTAGGGAATACTTCCGGCCATTGGAGGACTGGTTGAGGACCGAGAATTTGAGAACGGGAGAAGTAGTCGGCTGGTCATACGGTAAGAGTGAGAGAGAGAAAGAAAGAGAGAGAGAGAGAGCACTGGCTTAAATTTATACGCTTTAAACCATTCTTTTCTTAATTACGTTGCGACACTTCCTGTACTATTAATATACAACGACATTCGTACGTGCTTGCTAATTAAAAATAATTATTTCAACGTCGGATACCACGAAGATCGATTCGGGTGACGTCGGTAGAGCCGCCGTAGTGCCTTTCGACGTAACTTGCTACAAATTATGCAATTTCCTACCGTAACAGATTGAAGGTTGCAGTTCCCACGTGCTACTTTACTGGGCGAGCGTTACAAATGTTCATTGTATGACGACATTCGACTTGTGAATTACGATCTGGTGTGGTGGCTAAAATTATTGAGATTAACGGCTTGCGCCCTAAGCGGAGGGCACATTGCATCTTGCCAAATTCTTAACTCTCCGGTCGCCGCCGGTCGACGCGCGCGTACGTTATATAAAAACGCTTACACAGGGAAGAACCTCGGATACGTACATCGTGCCGCGCTCATCCCATAAATTACATCGGTGCGTTTCGAAAGCATATAGCAGAGCACTTCGAGCGGAATAAGTTATGAATTCTCTTAAATAAAGTAAAACCGTTATATGCGTGCGTAATAAATCAAGGAGTGTCGACATCTCTCTCCGGGAACGAAAGGGAAAAGCGAGCAAGGACTACGGCACGAGACGTGGTGGGACGGGTGAATGAAAACGATATCGCATAGTTGCGAGAAATTTATCTTCTCTGGGGAAGAAAAGGAAGAAATTTTCACGGTGATCACGTGTCGTGAATCTGCAGAACTCACTTGAATGCGAGCAACGCGAATTATTCGATCGGTCTTCGTGAAACGTTCCTTTTTTTCGATACAATGTAGGAAACGTGTTATTTCCGCGGCAGAGGGTCCGCCGAGAGGGAGGGAGGAAGAGAGGAGGGGAGGGGGGGGTCGATTGTAAAGTTCTGGCCCCGTGGGATTGGAAAATTGCGAAATCAGAGTGTGAAACGAGGAAAAGGCCTCCAGAAGAGGAAAGGATAAACGTTACGGCCGGATGAAAGAGAGAGAGGGAGAGAAAGAGAAAAAGCGATACGGAGGACATATCGTGAGACACTCTCGACGCGCGACCGCACTCTCGTTTCGATCGTAAGAGTTCCTCGGTGCAGTCCATCTATCCGTTCGCGAATTTTTCGCGAAGAGGCGAAACGAGGCGAGATTCGTGCACGTGCACGTGCATTAGACGCCGACATTAGACGCGCCTCCGTTCTCTCTTTTCGCGTGAGAGCGAATATCGCGTTCGCGTTCGCGTTCGATCAATCGGCAGCAGGGCATGCGTGATCGAGAAAATCACTCGTGTACGCAATATTGCGTAATGAGATCTCCCACTGGCCGCGCGAACGATCCAGTTTACGATCCAGGAATTTCGTTTCGTCGGGAAGTAGTTCTTCGCAACGGCGAAAAAAAAAAGATACATCCCCCGAAAGAGCGAGCCTTTAAAAATTAAAAATACGTTAAGTGTACTTCGGCACATTGAAGTAAACTGTTAACTTTTTTTCCGTACGGTACCCCTTACGCGCCGTAAAGGAAAATGCAAATCATGAAATAGGAAGATGGATTAGTCATGGCAGGAATATTCGTCATGTCCAGCCGCGGAAAGTGAAAAGACACGGCGTAATGTTAGAGAGTCGCTTTGAACAACCAATTTGCATTGCAGAAGTTCGTTTTACTTGATTGCAACGGTTATGCAGGCAACGTTAGTATCGTTAGCTTAACCTGAATTTGAGTGGTGGCCGGTGGACGCGTGCAGCCCGGCGTCTTGCATAATGCGTACGCCTTGTCAATATTTTCAACCAAAACAGCGGACAAAATACAGGAGAAATGGTGCATAAATCTGTATTTGCTCTTGCTACGGTGCATTCGGAGCAGGAGGAGCTCCCTTCTCGGAGACGATTCCGATCGAAGGAGCAGACGTGCGCGGGAATCATAGCCACGTAACCACGTTAAAAAGAAATCATGGAACGCCAGTCATATAATTTCACTTTCGAGTCGATCTTCGTTCTCGTTTTGCTCGTAATTTCTTCGATTATGATCTACGCGTAACACGCACGCGCTACCGCGAAAAAACAAAGAGCAAACCTCTTGACTGAGACAACGATAACAATTTCTTGACAGCAATCTCTTGCAATCTACGAGGGATTTTAAATACTTCGTGAAAGCTAAAAAATAGAATAGTATTATTTAATACATTTGCTTTATTGTGTGTATATAACTTCATTGTGTGTATATTACGTGTGTATAGAGGAAAGTTGTCGATAAATCTTTTAAAGATACATTACCTTCCTATTTCTCGGAAATAAAAAATTATACTTTATTAATACTGATAAAAACTGTTGTGATCTGTTTAAGCGATTAAAGATATAAAAACACATAATTCATATATTTGTGACTTTTTTTATATAAAATCAGTTAAAAACCGATTTTTCAAATGCAAAAATAAAATTTGTACAATTTTTTTACGTATTTTAAATAATAGTGAGTATTGATTATATTAGGTCATTTTACATATTTATAGTTTCTTGAATCTATTTTATTTATATTTGGCCTTTTCTTTTTCTTATAATGCGTTAAATGTAAAATCGAGATATAGCGTAAAAACCAACAGATTCAATAAAATAGATACTATAAAACATGGTAACTTAGCCTAAAGTAATTTTATGATTACGCTATTACTTATGTTTTACAGAACAGCAAAAAGGAAAATAAACATAGTTTATTAATTTACTTCAATATTCTTATAATTCCTTTAATATCTGAACCATATCTGAATTATGGTATCATTGCTTAATATGTCAGTTTTTAGGTTCAATTTTTCAGATGCTCATTTTTAATTATCCTACGAAAAATTAATTATTATTGTAAAATATAAAACAATATTATAAAAATTGCTATATTATAGATAGAAAATAGTTAATAGTTGATAGAAAATAGTTCTAGTTTGTATTTTTGTTTCATATTTAGCTTTTGTTTAAGAAATATAATCCAAGAATAAAGCGGTATGATGGTATCGATGACTTTTCTATATACGTATAAGTAAAAGTACAGCCTATGATTCATTTTACGCGGCACGAGAACAAGAACGTAGCCGCATATAATTGAAAGATAGATCATTCCATCTTTAAAGGAATCAGTACATTGTATACCTTTCAGCTGTGCGCCACCACGATTATCTTATCGTACTTCATTCGAGAAGATTGATGTTATTAAATTTTTCCATTAATGCCCGATCGTAAAAGCGATCGCTAATTTCTAGGGCACGCGCGTTGTGAGAAAAATCGCATTAATACGTCATGCGAGCTGAATGAAGCAATATCGCGCATTGTGCCGAGATAACGAGATACGATTAAATACCATTTCCATTTCGTGCCACCTTCCGCCAAGCTTGTGGCCACAAGTGATTAAACCGTACGCGCAAGAAATCGCTATCCGGCGAGACTCACGATCGGTACGAGCCCCCTTAATTCACGAACGAATCAAGCGGAACGATGAATTACACGTGATCCGAGGCAAAGCGGTGCCGACGAATTAGCCGAAAAATATCCGCAAAACCACGAAGAAATAAAAGTTACGAAGGGAAAGGTAAACCGACTCTCCATCGTGGTTCCCTTTATTCGCCGCGAGACTTTTTTTCTGCTCATGTCGATCTCGATTACAGGATTTTAGAGTGATTTATTTCCCTCCCTCGCCCTCCGGCCAATGATCGTGCGATTTCCGTAGCACGCTCGCTTTAACGATGAAAAAAATATCACAAATGGTATTTCGATAAATAGTTCTATTATTCTTTTTGCCAATTGTTAGAGCAATGATTTCTATCGACTATCGATCGATCGTAGCGCACAAAATGTCTCCGTTGTTAGCCATTCTCAATGACCCGAAAAAAGGCGATGCAATTATGTACGATTTAATAATTATCTTAATTATTTGTATTTGTTTTTTATTGTATTTGTTGTTTTATATTTGTATTACAGATGGTGACTTTTGCAAAAGGAGTATAGAGACCGCTGGCCTGCAAGTTTATGGTAGCGGCTTCTATAATAGTGGCGTATCTATTTCCGCATCTTGGATCGCGAGCGGAACCATGATGATTTTTTGGATTATATCAACATTCTATTGAATGTAACGACTAATGACGTACTAATTCATCGAGTATTATTGATAAAAAAAAGAAAAACTTATTATTATATTATTAATGTGTCAAAATATATTACATCGTATTTTCATATGATCGCCGCAAGAGTTTTAAACACAAAAATAATTCGCTCGAACGTATCTGATGGTAAAATAATGATTACTACTGCCAAATATATTAAAATATGTACAATCTTGTCAGGCGCCAAGCTGCATGTTTTACGTATTGTAAAAAGATATGCATTTTTTTATCCTAAATATTCGCATTGTTAATTTGCAAACTATTAAATATATTTGTATAATTGTATTATTATTAATATTATACATTCATATAAATTATATGTTATACTATAATGTATATCATCCTATATATAATACGCAGTATTACAATTAAGAGTATAAAGCGTGACTGAAAATCGTCGTATGTGTCGTGCGTGGGTGTAAGTACATAAATCATTTTATATACTTGAACAGCTCATGATTCACGTTTCTGTAATTATTAACTTCACTGTTGGTAGACCAAATAAAATTATGCCTTTGTTGTAAAACCGAATGGAATTTTTTCCAAGGCACTCGATCGTTCATGTTACATCATCCTTGCGAACAGTTTCATTTTCTAAGCATCTGACTCTGAACGCTCCGGTTCTTCTAACGGGATTGCAAAATCGAGGCTCGGCACCGATAGGCATCCTACGTTACTTTTTTAACATTTGACACGTGAGCGAGCCGAATTATTTTTTTTTTTTTTATTCGAACCACAACTATCGCACAAAAGAGAGCTCGTTAGGCAGTACGTTTACTTTCGCGATCCGATGGGGGAAGGGAGGGGGATATTTTATATTCGGGAAAGAAAGAGGATTCCCCTCGAATGGCACGCACAAAAGCTATGTGACGACAAAAGCCGGACGGCTCCCCTATCTTGCGTAATTGAAAGGCGGCGAAATCGTACCAGGTGAAATCGCGCTTTTGCTGTCAAATTACTGGTAAACTCAATCGGGGCCGCCTTATCCTTCGCCACTTTATTGCACCTTTTACCGTAGCCGCTATTAGATCGCTCGAATATTCATCTTAATAATCATATCTTCGCATAACACGCGTATTTTCATTCGCTTCAGCGTTAGCAGATCGTGAATGCGACTAACGATTGCCGAGACGATCTCGATAAGTAGAGTATGAATGTACGTAATTACACGTTAAATCCCCATTTAATTGCGCTTTTTATTTTCATGATATGTCTGGACACGCAATGTAATATTAAATATTTCAATTATCTCATAAATCGATCATAAAGATCTCAGTATTAAGATTAAAAAAAGTTTAATTTCTTTTTAATTTTATTATTGAGATTTTTATCCTCCTATTTTATAGTTTTTAATAAAATGCACAGATTTGTAATATATCAAACACAGGTATTCGCAGACACAGTATCCACTTTCTCGAGGATCAAACGTATTAGATGCATGAACATCAATTTCGAATAGAAGATCATACGACAATGGTACGACTCTTATTAAACTCTTTTGTTTTA